CTCGCCCAGGAAGAGCGCAATGATGGTGCCAACTTGGGCCAGTGAAGCAACGTCCTCCACAACTAGACTGAAGAACAAAAGGACAGCAATTTGTCTGTTCCCCTTCCCCCAATTCCCCAATAAATATCTTTAAAAAAACCCCAAAAACAAAAACTTAGCAATTCCACCGGCTTACAGTAAAAATTACTACAGTTATTCCAATGTTATTTTATTTAGATTAGCCCTATATTTAATTGAACTTAATTCTGTCCTCTCATACTCAAATCTTTTCCCACTTATAAAACTTCATTTTATTTCATGTTTTGGTTGTCTAGATGATATCTACAAGTAAATTTCTCAGAAAGGTTTAATTAACACCACAATTCTTGAGTTATTCCGTTTTTTAGAGTGTCTTTTATTAGATTGCCTTTCATACATGAAAGAATCCCGGGGGACATCCTTCTCCCCTCGACACTTTATATCGTTGTATTGTCTTCTTGAATTTAGTATTGTTGAATAAAAGTCTGAGGCCAAGTTGATTTTTTTTCAACTAGTGGATAATATGCCCTCTACCCAGAATGCTTATAGGAACCCTCATTTATAGCTTATCCTTGATTCCCGTCAATGTCATGAGGATAGTACTAGTCAGATATTTCTGGGTCTTAATGTTAACTGCTATTCCCCCAACACAGAGCGCCTTTCTGAGTTGTGATCATATCTTCCCTAAAGGAACGGTCCTCCTCCTACACCTTCAGTGCTTTCTCTGTTCTGTCGATTCTCTCTGTTTCAGGATTAGGCCTTCGTGGGAGATCTGTTGTCTGTCTGGCTTGTCCATCGTTCTCTCAAATCACTTCAATCATCTTCCTGGTTTTCTCAACCCTTTCTTCCAGACAGAGCGCTTCAGCAAGGGCTAGCCTCCTTTCTCCTCTTTCTCAGGGGATTCTGATTTTATAGTGATATCATTGTTTTCTGTAGTTAACGTTTTTTATCTCTGCCAGCTGACTTTTCATCTTTCTCTCTTCTACTAGGACCCCTTGGTCAATCTCTTGTGTTCTACTTTGAGCACATTTCACAAGGTTCTACGTTCTTTTTCTTTTCATTGAGTGCAGAAAAGTTTTTTTGAAAAAAAAAAGTTTCTTTGTATTTTTTATAGTACTCTTTCTCCCAAAGTGTAATCTTGTCTTTTACCGATTATTGTCTCCCTCCTTCCTTTCTCCCCTTCCTTCCTCCCTCTCTCCCCTTTCCTTCCTTCCTTCCTTCCTTCCTTCCTTCCTTCCTTCCTTCCTTCCTTCCTTCCTTCCTTCTTCTTTTTTTTTTAAAGATTTTATTGGGGAATCGGGGGAAGGGAACAGACAAGTTGCTGTCCTTTTGTTCTTCAGTCTAGTTGTGGAGGATGTCGCTTCACTGGCCCATGTTGGTATTATCATTGCGCTCTTCCCG